CGCGTCGACCTGCGGCGCCTTGTCCTGAAAAACTGCCGTGCCGTTTTGTAGTTGTTAAAACGTTGGTTGTTGCTTTTCCCGAAACATAGCAATATCAAGAAGAAACATGAAAACATGGAAAGTTATGCAAATTCCGGGTTAACAGAATCGGACAGCCCACATCGACTTAGCTGACTTAGCTACTACATTGGAAATGTTGAGGTGTATGTATCGATGGTTCCAGTTCGGTTTCGGACCCCTGCGATTTACAGATTTTATGCAGAAAACCTCGCTCTCACCTCCTCCCTCTTCCTCCTCCTAAGCCTCTCTTTCACCTCCTCCCTCCTCCTCCTCATTCCTCCTTCACTCTCTCTCTCTCTCTCGCTCTCTCTTCTGTGTGTTTTCGTTCGTCGCGCATTCCTCTTCCTCCTCATCCTTCTCCGTCTTCCTCCTCATCCTCTTCCCGATCATCCTCCTCTTCCTCCTCCTCCTCGTCCTCATCCGCCTCCTCCCCCTGTCCCCCTTTTCTGAAGGAGTGCCATAACTTTGGGAAAATCGTATGAAAAAACCAAAAAAAAAAAAAAAAAACAAAGAAACTGAAGTGCTGGAAGCGAAAACTTTAGGAAACCAATTGGAAAAACAAAACAAAAACAAAAAAAACAACAAAGATTCCAGGGAACACCCGTCCGAAGGGACACGTCCAAAGGGAATCCCAGCACTCTCTGTGGAATCTTTTTTTTGTGTTTGTTTTTTTTGTTGTTTTTTCCAATGGGTTTCCTAAAGCTTTCGGCTCCAGCAGTTCAGTTTCTTTTTTTTTGGTTTTCCCAATGGTTTTCCAAAAAGTTTTTGAATTGTGTGCTTTTGGGGCCTCTCAGGCGGGAGCATCGTTTAGAGTGTTCTATCGGGAACCTCTCTGGCGGGAGCCTCCTTTTGTTTGCGTTTTGGGGGACTTCTCAGGCGGGAGCCTGAGGGAGCCATGAGGGAGCCATGGGGGGAGCCACGAGGGAGCCATGGGGGAGCCATGGGGAGCCGTGGATGGGGTGGGGGGAGCATCCTCCTCATCTCCCTCCTCTCCTCATCCTCGTCTCCTTGTCTCCTGATATTGTATATTCTCCTCCTCCTCCTGCTCCTCGTCATCTGCGCCTCTCGCTTTCTCATGTTCCTCGTCTTCCTCCTCATCTTCATCGTCCTCATTATCATCGTCATCCTCTTCCTCATCCCATCCTCATCATCATCTTCATCGCCTTCTTATCTGCATATTACATATTCTTCATCAGCATCATCATCATCTTCCTCATCCTCACCTTCCACATTCTCATCTTCCTCATCATTATCATCATCATCATCATCATCATCATCATCATCAGCATCATCATCATCATCATCATCATCATCATCATCATCTCCATGATCATCTTCACCTTATCCTCATATTCCTCACCATCCTTCTCCTCCTCCTCCTCCTTCCCCTTCATCCTATAATCCTCCCATCCTCATCATTCTTCTCTTGCTCATCCTCACCCCTCCTTCTCCTCCTCCTCTCCTCCTCCTCCTCCTCCTCCTCCTCCCCCTCCTCCTCCTCCTCTTCCTCCTTCCCCCTTCCAAGGGAAAACCATAACGTTAGGACAACCCTGAGAAAACAACAAACCAACCACATAAACTGAATTGCTGGAGGCTGAAACTTTGGGAAAACCCATGGGAACAACCAACAAACACCAAACAACACCAAAGATCACAGGGAAGACCCGTCCGAAGGGACCTCCTCCTCATCCTCCTCCTCCTTCTCCTCCCCCCTTCCAAGGGACAGCCATAACTTAGGACAACCCTGAGAAACACCATTGCAAACAAACAAAGTGTCCAAGCAATGCCTCCCGCCCATGAACCTCCCCTTTGGGGCGGACTGGTTTCCACGAGATTTTTTTTGTTTGTTCCACTGGTTTTCGAACGTTTCAGTCTCCAGCGCTTCAGTTTCTTTGTGTGATTGTTGTTTCCTTTCTCCGAGTTTTCCTGAAGTTATGGCTTTCCCTTGGAAGGGGGGAGGAGGAGGAGGAGGAGGAGGAGGAGGAGAAGGAGGAGGAAGAGGGAGGAGGAGGAGGTCCCTTCGGACGGGTCTTCCCTGTTTTTTTCGTTTTTGTTCCAATGGGTTTTCCAAAGTTTCAGCCTCCAGCAATTCAGTTTTTTTTCTCAGGGTTGTCCTAAAGTTATGGCTTTCCATTGGAAAGGGAGGAGGAGGACGAGGAGGAGGAGGAGGACGAGGAGGAGGAGGAGGAGGAGGAACGGTGTGTGTGTGTGGGGGAGGATGAGCAAGAGAAGAATGATGAGGAGGATGAGAGGATGATATGATGAAAGGGGGAGGAGGAGGAGGAGGAGGAGGAGGAGGAGGAGGAGGAGGAGGAGGAGGAGGAGGACAAGGAGGAGGCTTCGCGCAAAAATCGTAAAATCGCGGGGGGTCCGAAACCGAACTGGAACCGTATCGATATATCTTGGCAGTGGTACCCGATAGCTCAGTTAATAAGATGGATGGTTCTGTGAGTAGTATGTATGGTATGTTGTTGAATATACTTATCTAACAAAACGTTAAGTAGATGAATGCGAAGTTCGATATTTTATATATGTTGAATATGTGAGGTCAACTAGCATGAACCTACATACATCTTCGTTGAAACGATTTCATCGGATATACAACGCTCTTACCGCACTTACACCCACCCGACGGTCAAAGCAGCCACGGATTTAGCAGCCCTTGCCCGGCTTCCGGCCTGAGCCTCTCGCCCCCCCTCCACGCTGCCCCTGACAGAACTCTGGGCGCCCGAGTTCTCTGGGGGCAACCCGGGTTTGGATTCTCGGAGCACGAGCCCGAGCTGGCCCTGACCCGAGTCGCCCCTGACGATATGGGGCCCTGGACGCCCGAATTGCCCCTGATGGTTCGGGGCTCTGAGAAACGGCCCCGGGGGTGAGACCACAACTCAATGCGGACGGGGTGATGAACCAGCCACTGGGATGAGGTCAGGACGGCCGGGGCCCACGTCGCGCACAAGAACTGTGGTGTTGGAGCTCGGGGATCGCCCGTTGGGCCAGCCGCCTTACCTCGGTCGGCGCCCTCCAGCGCGGCCATCTTGGTGCGGGGCAGATCGTGCCTGGTGCGCCGTAGCTCTGAACATCTGTATTCAAGGCCCCAGCGAGGGCGGGGACGTAGACTCCTGGCACCTACACTCAAGAGGACCACCACACAGGAGCGACACGAGCATAGACTCTCGGAGATCCGGGCGAGTCTCCTTGGTCGGCGCTGGGCCCCCCTCACCGCGCCAGTTTCCCCGCGCAGCGCCAGGAGCGGCGCCAGAGGCGCCGACCGGGGTGTGGGTCCGAATGTTGTGTTTGTTTTTTTGCGTGTGTGTGTGTGTGTGTGTGTGTGTTTGTTGGGCTTCGGCCCAGGGCGTGAGATGAACTCTCCAACGGCAGCCCAAGAAACGCCGCACGAGTGAGACTCGGATCCGGGCCTCGGATCCGGGCCTCGCTGCCGCAAGCCGGGGCTCCAGACTGGCTCCTGTCGCGGCGGTGGTCGTTGGGCGTCTGGCACCGCGCAGGCCGCTCAGTCTTGAGCGGCCTCCCCGGTCCGACAGCGGAGCAGCGTGCCAGGCAGGCGCGCAGCATAGGGGGACTGTGCTGCCTCAAAAGCACGGCCAGCGTCAGGACAATGGCGGTCGCAGCAGCCAGCCCGACCGCTCGTGCAAACCAATTGCGCTGAGCCTGCGCTGGTTTTCGGACGTACATCATGTCGGACACGTCGTCTCGATCATCGATCATCGAGACCATAACTTGTTCCAACATCTCACCATGAACCCCTGACCTGCCCCCCCTCCCCTCGAAACATGCTCAAAGAGCGGACTCCCATCTGGCCCCAAGATCATGATTGGCCTGGTTGGCCTTCAATCGTGAACGCCCGCGCCTAGCGTCGCGCATCGCCGCCGCGTCGACGCGGCGCGACACCGCCGTGCCCTCGCTGGAGAATCGTGTCCCCTCCTGCGGGCCTCCCCGCTCTGGGCCGACCTGCGGGGCTCTCGACCCCCCTCCTCGGCCATCAGTTGGAGGCCATTGTTTTCATTCGGGGGGCGGGACGCGGTTTTGCCCAGGCCAGTCTGAAGAACTGGCGAGACCGGCGAAATCTCACACGTACCACTGACAAAAAAGCTATACCACATCATACAGATCACAGGTTCGAGATTGTGAATTGTTGTGTTGTGAGGGGCTTGGAAGAATGCGATCTGGGGCCAGACTTGCGGCTCTGCGCTCTTTGGAGGAGCGCGCCGATGTGTCGTCCGGACAAGCCGCCCTGGAAAGGGGGCCGCAAGAGCCCTCGCCTGCGCCGCCTTCGCCCCCGCAAAGCAACGCTGTCAGCGTCGAGCGTGCGCGCGTGTCCGCGCGCACACGGAGCCTGTCAGGAAATGCTGCTTGGCGCCGCGCGTTCTGGGGGTGTCGCACCTGCTTACAGTCAACCCGTATCATAAGGATGCGCGGTAAGGATGCAAGGGCCTTAGAAGGCCATGTTCATGGTTTTCGGATGAGGCTGGCCAGCGAAAGTTGCCGAGGCTGGGCCGAGGAGGCAAGGATGCAAGGGTACCCTTGAGAAGGTTGCCCATCCTTGCTGTGCGGGTTGACGTGTAAGTTTCGAGACCTGTTTCTTGATTCTCTGGCGATAACGGGCGTGATCAGGGGGGGGGGGGGAGGGCGGGGGGGGGGGAAGGGGCCGCTCACGTCACGAGTCGCGCTGGCGCCGTCTGGGAAGGCCTAAGACATAGCTCCGTCCCAGGCGGCGCCTTCGCGAAACGGGACGTGTCGGGGAGGGGCGGGGCGGGGCTGGGCACGGGCGCTATCGCGAAGACTGATATAAAAGTGGACTCCCGCCTGCTTTTTGGTTGCGAGCTCTCGCGTGAGTACCACTTCATGACTGAGTGAGCACGACTGAGCCTCATTGTGCCTGGCGCCCGACCGGCCCGAGTCCGATCCCTCCCCGGCTCTCGCTCCTGGAACTTCCTGCGCCACTTCTGCTCGGCGCGCTCCTCGGCCCGCAACCGCTCCCGCCGCATGAACTCGGCCACGCCGTCGTCGGGGTCGTTTGGCCGCCGCCGCCGCGGCTGCGCCAGCGCCGAGGGGTCGAGGATCTTCATCTTCAGGGCCTCGCGCTCGGAGAGCTCCGGCATCGAGTAGACGGACTCCAGCTGCTTCGCCTTGGGCGGGGCCTGGGGTCCGCAGCCGTGCTGGCTGCGCGAGAGGCCCCTGCGCACCACGGGGCTCCACGGCGGTGGGTCTGGGCGCCCGATGGAGGGCAGCGGCTCGAAAGCCATGGCCCTCGCTCGAGCCTTGTGCGCCCCACCGCCAGGCGCATCGAGCTCGAGCCAGGCGCTGCGCGCGCGGTGGTGGCGGCGGGCTGCTGCTCGCCGTCGTCCTGCCGTGCTGCTGGCTCTGCCCGCCTCTCGGCCTCTTGTTTTCTCCCGCGACTCTGCTGATGGCGTTGGCGAGTCATTCAGGCACGGGGGGGCAGTCCGACCAGGGATTCGTAAGCTCTGTGAGTGCGTCCACCTGCGCTCCCTGCGTTGCACGAGTACATCTCGCGCATGCCCAATTTGCATGCATGGCCAGCGTGACACCTACCGCACGTAGTGCTAATCTCACCATGTGATGCGCAGTTAGTGTCATACAGCATGCGTCCGCATATCACGTATGTCATCTGTCATCGTGCTGGTGGAGTTGCTTCTGCTCGTGTTAATCACGGGCTCGATTTGTGCGCCTGGTGCACCGCTGCACGTCCTTTTTCTTCGATCCGCGCTGCTTGCCTGGCATCGTGCTACAATGCGGATGGGTGTCGATCACGTGTGTGGTGTATGCGCTGTGCTCTACACTTTCCGCCTGGCGATCTGGGTCACGGTTCCCCTCCTCCAAAAATCGGCCCCACGACCTCTCCGGAGGTGCATCCTGGCAAAAGTGTCGAGAGAGATCCAGCAATGGCCACGAGGACGCCCACGGGAGACCCCAAAAAGGTCCGCTAGCCTCGACCCTCGAAATCCTATATCCTCTTCTCGCCTCAGGGAAGAGCCCCCGGAACCCCGTGGGCGTAGCCCCTCTCCTACTCGGGCGGAGAGGCGAGGTTGAACCCTGCCGCCTGCGACTGTCCGCGCGGGATCTCGGGGCACTCCCAGCGCGCCAGGGGCTCCCCGGGCAGCGACCTCTCGGCCCGACCCTCCCCGAAAAGACGCGGGCGCGCTGGCGAGCGCGCCGGCCGACTCTTAACACCTCAACATCCTCTAACATCGCTTGCCTGGTCGGCGTTCGGGGGCACGCGCCGGCTTCGACCAGGCCTGTCTCCCCGAGGGGCTCCGAACCCCTGTGTTCAGCCGCGATCGGCTCCCGAGGTGCCGCCAGCATCTGGCACTTTTGGTCGCCGCGCGCGTGTCGTGAAGTGCAGCGCTCCAGCGGCAAGGCTGAGATGCGGTGTCACTCACTTCGCGCTCTTGCGCTGCGCGGAGCGCGCTTAGCTGTGCGCTCTCTCGCCGACCTCTGGAAGAAGACCGCTCTTCAGCGCAGACCGCGGAACGAGATTCTCTTCGCTGCGCAGAAGCACCCGTGCTCCACCAAAATGCCCAGCCCTGGCCAGGATGGTGGTAGTGGTGGTGGTGGTGGTGGTGGTGGTGGTGGTGGTGGTGGTGGTGGTGGTGGTGGTGGTGGTGGTGGTGGTGGTGGTGGTGTATGAATACCTTCTGCAGATTCATGGCCCAGCGAGTCCCCCAAGAGTGCCAAGCTGTGACTTCCTGGGGGTTAGTCACTCTTTGGCCCCCAACCACACTGGGCCTCGACCACCTCCCGCCAGTCGGATGTGCCCTGGCATGCAAGCGCCATCCGCAGAGCTCTGGAGCGTGCGGTGCACGCTGGCACAAAGGAGGTGTGGCGAGGGGGCCCCCATTCTAGCAGGGGGCCCCCTTGGGGCATCGGGCCCTTCTCGTGGGCTTCTGCCGAGGCCTCTCAGACTGCAGCTTCTGAGCGGCGGGGTGGGTGCCTCGTTAGAGAGCCTCCCCTTCGCACTGACACATATGACCTCCTGCAACAAGACGACGTTCATTGCCCTGGATCAATGTGGCCCCAGGGCCCGAGAACGGCCCACGGAGACGGACATCAAGGAGCAGATGAACCCAAGATTGAAATTACCAACCCGCTGCAGGTGCGGATATTGCGCGGCGCCGTGCGTGAGCGGGCGCGCCCGAGGGAACACGGACTTACACGTGGGTGCACCAAGGCTGCTAGCGACGGCGACGACGGCGACGGCGGCGGCGACGATGGCGACGACGACGGCGTCGCAGCCGATGATTGGGCTGCAAACGTGCTCGCGCAGTCGCCGCGAGCGCCAGCCAGCCCGCTGGATGGCATGCTGGGCGCCTGCGGGCAGAGCGACTCGAACTGCCCGACGAGCCCGGAGGCATTGATCTCCTCGCGCCAGGGAGCGCTTCGGCACGCGGCCGTGCCTCGCTCGGCCCCCGACACTCGAGGAGCGAGGAGGGAGGGTTTCGGTCGTTCAGGGGAAGCTTGGGCATGTGTCTCGTCCCCGTGGGCTTTCAGGAGCCTTCGGGAACGTCCGCGGACACCCAGGGACCAGGGACCCGAGCGGGAGCGACACGCACCAGCGCTCGATGGCAGGCCGGGCGCCCGTGGGCTGAGAGCGACTCCGGTCGTCCGACGAGCCCGGCTGCGCTGCTCTCCCTGCGCCATCTGGCTCGGAGCACGCCGCTGTGCGCCCCGACCCCCGACACCTCCTGTCTCCTCCCTTCCTTCTCCTCCTCCAGCTCCTCCTCCTCCTCCTCCTCCTCCCTCCTCCTCCTCCTCCCCCTCCCCCTCTCCCTCCCCCTCCCCCCTCCCCTCCTTCCCCTCCCCCTCCTCCTCCTCCTCCCCCTCCTCCTCCTCCTTCTCCTCCTCGTCCTCCTCCCGTTCCTCCTCCATTCCTTCTCCTAACAAATAACTTCTCCCTGTCGCACCCCGAGGCCAGTTTCTTGGGCGGGCCGGGCGTTTCGCCTGAGACTTCCTCACCACTTATGACCCTGACGCTTAAACATTGGCAACAGCTTCGCAGATGGAGGGCGGGTGGTTTTCAAAATGTGACTCTCGCCTCAGCGCAACGCACATTCGTTTTCAACGTTTGCAAGAGTTTGACGGATTTAGGGCGGGCCGTTTTCAAAATGTGCCTCTCGCCTTAGCGCCGCGCACATTTGTTTTCAAGCATTGCAAGAGTTTTGCGGATTGAGGGCGTGTGGTCTTCAGTATGTGGCTCTCGCCTTAGCGCCGCGCGCATTCGTTTTCAAAATTTGCAAGAGCTTCGCATATTGATGGCGGATCCTTTTCAACGCCGCGCGCATTCGTTTTCAACATTTGCAAGAGCTTTGCGGATTGAGGGCAGGTGATTTTCAGAATGTGGCTCTCGCCTTAGCGCCGCGCGCATTCGTTTCCAAATTTACAAGAGTTTCACGGATTGAGGGCGGGTCGTTTTCAAACTTTGGCTCTCGCCTCAGCGCCGCACGCATTCTTGTTAACACATTGCAAGAGTTTCTTTGATTTCAATGATCTACGCACCAAAAACTGTGTTTTAGAAGGACTCACGATTTGGAGGGCGCAACAATTACGATGGTTCGCGGAGTTGAGGTCCCAGGAACGGCGTTCTGGCACGATTCCGGATCGTCAAGACGCAACAGTCAGGTTCATCCGTGGCGTTGGAATGCCGAGAATCATATATTGGCATGCTTCAGGGTCTTCAAACGGTTGCCTTCCAACGAGGCCGGTCCCTCTGTGGAAATGAACCGTTGTAGGGGCCTATCAAGAGGAAGCTTGGGGGGAGGGTTTATTCCAACATCGTTGGTGACTCTTGGGTTTACACTGGTCCTCCTCCTCCTCGCTCCTCCTCGCTCCTCCTCCCCTCCTCCTCCTCCTCCTCCTCCTCCTCCTCCTCCTCCTCCTCCTCTCCCCCTCCTCCCTCCTCCTCCTCCTCCTCCTCCTCCTCCTCCTCCTCCTCCTCCTCCTCCTCCTCCTCCTCCTCCTCCTCCTCCTCCTCCTCCTCCTCCCCCTCCTCCTCCTCCCCCTCCTCCTCCCGGCCTTCGCGCGAGCTGGCTCCCGGCCTCCTCGTCTCCCGGCGTGTGCCCGGGGGCGAAAAGCTCAGAAGAGCCCAGAATCGAATCGACGAGCCGGATCGGAAGTCGACGTGAGTCGGATCGGCGGGAATCGGCAGCCGAGTCGGGAGAAGTGGGATCGACGGAAATCGGCAGGCTAGCAAGCCTCCAGTAAGAAGTCGGAGCCCAAATCGGAATCCCAAATCGAATCGAATCGGAATCGGAAGCCATCGAAGTCGAATCGAATCGAATCGGAGGAATCGAAACGAGCCTTGCGGACGTGGCGGCGCGCAGAGGGGGGTGGGATTAGGTCGGGTGTGTCCTCCTACAAGAATGATGTTGGAAGGAACTTGAAATGTAGTCACCAAATAATGCTCACAAATCGTCGAACATAGTCAAACATTCGTCCCCAGACTATCTTTTTGACCATGGCTGAATATTCCTCCTGGTAGAGGGGCATGCCCGACTTAAGGGTAGGAGGAGGGGGGAAGGCTCCTTGGAAGGAATCTGTTTCCGAGAAGGCGCGGGCCACACATCTGCAGACAAGGCCCGCGCCTTCTCAGAGGCCGCCTCTTTCGAAGAAGCCTTCCCTCCGTCCCCCCCCACCCACCCCTCTGCGCGTGTCCGACGGCTCCAGGCACGGCTGCGGAGGCGTCCCCCCCAGAGCATCGACAAGGCTGCAGCGCCCCAGGACTCCGATCCATCCTCCCTCCCTCCCTCCCCACTCCGAAGGGGGGGGGGGGAGTGGAGGAGGGGGGGAGGAGGAAGGGAGGAGGATGACGAGGAAGGCGGAGGTTTGGAGGCAGAGGGAGGAGACAGGCAGAAACGATGGGCGAGAAAGGGGGAACGATGGATGAGGGAGGAGGGAAAACGGAGGGCGGCCCAACCCAATCTCCTTCTCCATGAACCCGTGGCACCAGTTCTTTCCGTTACAGTGCGCGAGGTCCAGGGACGCCTTCCGGCGGTGGGGGGGCCACTGCCATTGCCGCTGGTCATCGCCGTCGGCGTCGCCGTCAGCGTCCGCGTTGCCGTCAGCGTCGCCGTCGTCGCGGCCAACGCTCGTCGTCGCCGTCGTCGTCGTCGTCGTCGTCGTCGTCGTCGTCGTCGTCGTCGTCTTAACCGCCACCTCGTCTCCTCCTCCGCCTCTTCCTCCTCCTCCTCCTCCAGAGCCTCCAACAGCCGTCCCGATTGGAGGGCAGAGCGTCTGGAGTTGAACTAAACTGAATTCGCGCTACGAGTTGCGCGAAGCGCGATTATCAGTGAGCTCTCTCGCGGCGACCCTGGAGAAGGACAGCCATGTGGCCCAGGCCGCGAATCGCGATTATCTGTGCGTCCCCGTTGGTCACTCATAGAATGAATGAAATACAAGCCGAGCACAGATGTCGAAGCCTGGGCCTTTGTTCACAGGTTCTGGTGAAACGAGGAGGCGCCCCCGAGGAGATCTCGCGGCAGCCGAGGGCGTTTCCGACAACCGGTCGTAGCTCGCAGGTTGATAGCGCCCCCCTACATAGGTGACTTGGCAACAGCGAAAATCCCCAGCGTCGCAACTGAGCTCGAAACGTCGCAATGAACTCGACCCGAAGGCGGACAGCTCCCCAGCTTACCAGTTCTCCCCGTTCGTCCAACGTCCGCCAACCTGGCACTGCTCGTGGGCAGTGCAGATGATGACGCGAGTGATGTCGTGGAAGCAGCGGGAGGCGCGCATCGACCAACAGCAGTCTGCAGGCCAGGCCGGCTCTCTCTCGAGAGGAACCTTCTCGCGGGAACGCGGCGCCACCAATGGGGGAACAAAACGTGACATATAAACATAAAAACTCGGAGGTCCGCGCGGACTTCTCGACGTCTCGCTCCCCCCACCAGGCCCGCCTCGTGACGGCCTCCCCGCGCTCGAGGGGCCACCGGGGCCATCGACGACCACCGCGCGGCGGGCTCTGCCCACGTGCCGAAGGCTCCAGGCGAGCGCCGCTCCGACGGGGGGCCCACGCCCGCCCCCACCACTCGCCATCGCTCGGACGTCCATCAACCTGTGTTTTTTTCGGTTTCGTGCGTGGCTTTTCCGCCAAATGATCAAGGATGCTCCTCGATGGCCCTCGCCGAAGGAAAAAAATGCACGCGTCCGAGCGATGCCAAGACCAGGCTCCAGCCCTCGTGCAGCCCAGCCGGTTGGCGGGGCGCCGGTGCGATCCCACAGGGCGCTGCGAAGGCCGCGGGGTTGGCCAGGCTGGCCTCTGGCCAGGCAGGGGGTGTGGCGAGGGGGAGGCGCCGACCCAAGAAATCCGCGCGGACCTCGGGAAGTGGTGTGCCTGTCACACCAGCAGCATTTTTTTGGAACGATGCGGATTGCGGAGCAGTCATGAATTGCTGGACGCCCTGCAAATTCTTTGCCGCTGTCGCCTGGGCGCCTGCTGCATTTGCTTTTCAAATTGGATCTCACGCTCGAGCGTTTCGGGGTTCCGCTCAAACGGACCCCCCAACAACAACAACAACAACAACAACAACAACAACAACAACAACAACAACAACAACAACAACAACAACAACAACAACAACAACAACAACGCTCCCGTGCGATACTTCCTTCCTACTTACTCCAAGAGGCCCTGGCCAGAGAGGGGCCGAGCCTTTGAAAAGGCGCTCTCGCCTGAGACTTCTTTGCAAATTACCACCGCAAAAGGGGGTCCTTCAGAGCAATCTTGCAGCTACTTGCGGATGCTGGAACGGCCGTTCCGCTTGAGATTGCGCTGCAATTTAGCACTACAAGGGGGGTCCTTCAGAACCAGGTTGCTGCTTCTCGTGGATACAGGCACGGCCTTTTCGCTCGAGACTTCTTCGCAATTCGACACCGCCTTCAGAGCATTATTGCTGGTACTCGCGGATGCCGGAACTGCCGTTTCGCTTGAGACTTCCTCGCAAATCAGCATGGCAAAGGAATCTGTCAGAGCAGTCTTACCGCTACTTGCGGAGGCCTCAGGAGGCCCAGGAGGCATTCTCTGTATTGGGATATGAGTTCGGCGAAAGCTTTTCGGCCCCTCCTCCGCTCCCAGGAGGCCCCAGGATATACTTTTTCTGTGTTGGGATATGTGTTCGGGGGCCTTTTTCGGCCCTCCCGCCCCCAGGAGACGCTTTTCCGTATTGGGATACTTCTATGTTCGGGGAGCGCCTTTCGGCCCAAGGAGGCCCCCGCAGGGCCCGAGGGGTTACTTTTCTTTGCTGGGATCTGTGTTCGTGGAGTGCTTGTCGGCCCCCCTGTGCGCTTCGCCCTCGTTGGCTTCTCCCCCTACACGCTCCGCCGCCCCTCTCCTGGGGCTCGGACCCGCTGTGCTCTGCGTGTGCTCCTGCAGACTGCCTCTCTCCCAGGGCTCGAACCCTTTGTGCTTCGCGCGTGCTGCTGCAACGTGTCCCTCGACTGGGGCTCACATCCTCTGTATTTGCGTGTGTTCCTGCGTATTCCCTCCGGCTGGGGCTCGACTCCATAATGTTTCAAGCATGTTCCTACGTAGTGCCCCGCTCCTGGGGCTCGAATCCTTGATGTGATTGGGGCCCTCGTCGCTCCCCATCGACGCGCTGTTTTTTTTATGTTTCGTGCGAGCTGAAAGTGGGAATGTGCCTCTGGAGAAGTGTTGGCTCGACCTCCTTGGGCGGGATATCCTGGTGTCGTAATATCGCCCCGCCTTTTCGTTTAGTTCCCCCAAGAGGGGGTGGCATCATGATGGATGCATGTGGCATGTTGAAGCAGTGCGCGTGAGGGTAACATGATTGCGCTTGTTGTTGAACTGCCATCTCTAAAGAACAACTATTGTTGATCCTCCCCGGTGCTCACTCTGTTTTTTCAATGAAAACGTTCCTTCCGGGGCTCGCACCCGTTCTTTTCCACAAGCATGGGGTTCAGAATGTGGTCGGCCTCCAGTTTACAACAACAGCGGCTCCCGCTGGATACTTCGTCACAATTTACGTAGGAATCGCGCTCTCGCGTGGAACTTCCTTGCAATTTTTTCAAATGCCGCGCCCTCGACACTCAGGAATCACGCCTTCGCTCAGGCCTCTCTCATGATTTAGTTGGGGACCGCGGTATCGCTCGATAGTTCTTCGCGATTCATCCAGGACTTAGGATTCAGCAATCCGTCTGCTCAACCTGGCCGCTTGGGCCCGCCTTCCCGACGCGCCCGTCAAGATCCAACCGCCCGATGTGCCCGTCTGGTGCTGCCACATTTTATCTGGTCCTTGCCCCCCTCCTGCTAATCTCTCTCGTGCTCCATCCTTCTCCCTCCCCCTTCCATCCGTCCTCTCTTTCCCTGGTTTCGGGGCTGCGCTAAATACGCGTGACAGGTGCGGAAGATATACCCCAAGGGGGTAGGATCGAAGACGAAGAGGGCGGGCACCGAGGGTTCGGGGTATACGTGTTGACTGGGACGCGACCAACTAGGAGCGAACAATCTTAACATGATTGCTGGACCTTGAGAACTAAACAATTATCGTTGTTGTATCCCCTACATCTGCCCTGGCGCTCTCGCCTCGGCACCGGCTGCATTTCCTCTGAAAATGATGCTCGCGCTCAACCGTTCGGGGACCCGCCGAAGCGCCCCCCCCCCACAACAACATCGACGCTCCCGCTCGATGCTTTTTCCTTTTCTGCTCGGGGCCTTGGGCTTCTGCTCGCCGCCGAGAAATGGATTTTCAACAGTGTTGGCGCTCCCGCTCGATGTCTCCCTGCGTTTTGCTCAGGGCCAGCGCTCCCGCCTGGGCGCCACAAACGGCCCCCCTGCAAACAAAAACGCTCCCATTCGATACTTCCTCCTTTTTAAATCCACGGAGGCCCTGAGGTTCTCGCCGTCCCTGCTGAACCTTTTTATAATTAAGCAACTGTTATTGTTGGACACGCTACATCCGCCCTGGCGCTCTCGCCTCGGCGCCAGCTGCATCTCATTTGAAATGAAGCTCACGCTGAAGCGTTTCCGGGTGGCGCCGAAAAGACCCCCCCAACAACAACGCTCCGGCTCGATACCTCCTCCCCTTCTACTTAGAACTGGTGCCATTGCTCGCCACCGAAAGCCCGCTTTCCAGCAAAACTGGCGCTGCCTCTCGATACTTCCTTGCTTTTGCCTCAGGACCGGCGCTCTCGCCTCGGCGCCGCAAACGGCCCCCCTTGCAAACAATCACGTTCCCGCTCGATGCAACAACCGCCCATCGAAGATTCCGAGGCCCACGCTCCAGCGTTTCCGGGTTCCTGGGGAGTTCCGCGGCTGTCCCTCGCTGGGGCGCCCTGGCGCTCTCGCATCGGTGCACGGGAGCCTGCGGCGGCGACACCGTCGTCGTCGTCGTCGTCGTCGTCGTCGTCGTCGTCGTCGTCGTCGTCGTCGTAGATGCCGTCTTCGTCGTCGTCGTCGTCGTAGATGCCGTCTTCGTCGTCGTCGTCGTCGTTGTCGTCGCCGCCGTCGTCGTCGTCGTCGTCGTCGTCGTCGTCGTCGTCGTCGTCGTTGTCGTGGTCGTTGTCGTCGTCGTCGTCGTTGTCGTCGTTGTCGTCTTCGTCGTCGTCGTTGTCGTCGTTGTCGTCGTCGTCGTCGTGGTCGTCGTAGTCGTCGTCCGTCTCCTCTTCCTCCATCTCCTCCTCCTCCTCCTCCTCCTCCTCCTCGTCTTCCCCTCCTCCCCCCTCACTTTCCCCCCTCCTCCTCTCTTCGTTGTCGTCGTCGTCGTCATCATCTTTGTCGTCGTCGTCGTCGTCGTCGTAATCGTCGTGCTCGTCGTATCCTCCTTCTCCTCCTCCTCCTGCCCCCTTGTCTTCCTCCTCCTGTTCCCCCTCCTCCTCCTTTTCTCCTCCCTCCTCTTCCGCCTCGTCCTCCTCGTCGTCGTCGTCGTCGTCCTCCTCCTCCTCCTCCTCCTCCTCCTCCCGAGGCCCAAGGCCTCCTCCGATCCAGGCCTCTCTTATACGTGCTCGGAGGACTCCTTCAAGAGGCCCCG